CGGATGGTGTTTGGTACTGTTGCGATCGGCTGACACTCTGGTGTCAGAAATCCAATCCCCGACTTGGTGTTCAGGCCAGTCTCGGCCCAACTGAACTTGGGCAGGTCCATACACAGTACCTCTTGTGGGCGGGTCAGGACCACCTCCCCCAGAGTCAATTGGCCGAAGACTAATGTCCCGCCCATGTCCAAATCCCAATAAATTGAACGCACGGACATTTGTGATCCGTACGGAGCTGGTTCAATCGACCAATGGATGGCTGAGTTTCTGGCTTGCTCCAGCCGCAGGGAACGTGTTCCCTTCTATAGTAATCAGTCATTTGTGGGACTTCTTGTATCTTTGTGTTTGGAACTTGTTATATATTTTATGCCCCGCCCACTTCGGGAAATTAAATCCTAAAATTAATTGGTGACTTCTGTGTATGTAAGTGCGGGGTCATATCTCCGGAGAGACCAGATTGGAGGGATCAGATTGGAGAGACGAGATTGGAGGGATCAGATTGGAGAGACGAGATTGGAGGGATCAGATTGGAGGGGATCAGATCGGAGAGACGAGATTGGAGGGATCAGATTGGAGGGATCAGATTGGAGGGATCAGATTGGAGAGACGAGATTGGAGGGATCAGATTGGAGGGATCAGATTGGAGGGATCAGATTGGAGGGATCAGATTGGAGAGACGAGATTGGAGGGATCAGATTGGAGGGATCAGATTGGAGGGATCAGATTGGAGGGATCAGATTGGAGGGATCAGATTGGAGGGATCAGATTGGAGGGATCAGATTGGAGGGATCAGATTGGAGGATCAGATTGGAGGGATCAGATTGGAGGGATCAGATTGGAGAGACGAGATTGGAGGGATCAGATTGGAGGGATCAGATTGGAGGGATCAGATTGGAGGATCAGATTGGAGAGACGGATTGGAGGGATCAGATTGGAGGGATCAGATTGGAGGGATCAGATTGGAGGGATCAGATTGGAGGGATCAGATTGGAGTGTCGGGGTGTGTGTGTTGGGGGGGGGGTGTGTCTGGTGGGGGGGGGTGTGTGGGGGGGGGTGTGTCTGGTGGGGGGAGGGGGGTGTCTGGTGTGGGGGTGTGTGGGGGGGGGTGTGTCTGGTGTGTGTGGGTGTGGGGGGGAGGGGTGTGGGGAGGGGGGGGGGGGTGTGTCTGGTGTGGGGTGTGTGGGGGGGGGTGTGTCTGGTGGGGGGGGGGGGTGGTGGGGGGTGGAAGGGTGATAACATCGGGGTACAAGCTGTATGTAGATGGAGGGAGGGGCCCTAGAAGGGTGTGATTACTAAAGCTGCTCCTCAACTCTAATCAGTGCACCAGATTGTATGTAAGATTTGTATCTGCCAGTGTGTGGTCAGCCCTCTGGATTGTAGTGGAGTCTCCCCCCGGTGGTGGGCAGAGGTAGTGCGGGTGTGGTCAGCCCTCTGGATTGTAGTGGAGTCTCCCCCGGGTGGTGGGCAGAGGTAGTGCGGGGTGTGGTCAGCCCTCTGGATTGTAGTGGAGTCTCCCCCCGGTGGTGGGCAGAGGTAGTGCGGGGTGTGGTCAGCCCTCTGGATTGTAGTGGAGTCTCCCCCGGTGGTGGGCAGAGGTAGTGCGGGGTGTGGTCAGCCCTCTGTGCGGGTGGTGTGGTCATTGGATTGTAGTGGAGTCTCCCCCCGGTGTGGGCAGAGGGTAGTGCGGGGTGGTGGGTCAGCCCTCTGATGGTGTGCGGTGTGTGGTCAGCCCTCTGGATTGTAGTGGAGTCTCCCCCGTGGGTGGGCAGAGGTAGTGCGGGGTGTGGTCAGCCCTCTGGATTGTAGTGGAGTCTCCCCCGGTGGTGGGCAGAGGTAGTGCGGGGTGTGGTCAGCCCTCATGATTGTAGTGGAGTCTCCCCCGGTGGTGGGCAGAGGTAGTGCGGGGTGTGGTCAGCCCTCTGGATTGTAGTGGAGTCTCCCCCCGGTGGTGGGCAGAGGTAGTGCGGGGTGTGGTCAGCCCTCTGGATTGTAGTGGAGTCTCCCCCGGTGGTGGGCAGAGGTAGTGCGGGTGTGTGTCAGCCCTCTGGATTGTAGTGGAGTCTCCCCCGGTGGTGGGCAGAGGTAGTGCGGGGTGTGGTCAGCCCTCTGGATTGGAGTGGAGTCTCCCCCGGTGGTGGGCAGAGGTAGTGCGGGGTGTGGTCAGCCCTCTGGATTGGAGTGGAGTCTCCCCCCGGTGGTGGGCAGAGGTAGTGCGGGGTGTGGTCAGCCCTCTGGATTGTAGTGGAGTCTCCCCCGGTGGTGGGCAGAGGTAGTGCGGGGTGTGGTCAGCCCTCTGGATTGTAGTGGAGTCTCCCCCCCGGTGGTGGGCAGAGGTAGTGCGGGGTGTGGTCAGCCCTCTGATTGGAGTGGTCTCCCCCGGTGGTGGGCAGAGGTAGTGCGGGGTGTGGTCAGCCCTCTGGATTGTAGTGGAGTCTCCCCCCGTGGTGGGCAGAGGTAGTGCGGGGTGTGGTCAGTCAGCCCTCTGGATTGTAGTGGAGTCTCCCCCCCGGTGGTGGGCAGAGGTAGTGCGGGGTGTGGTCAGCCCTCTGATTGTAGTGGAGTCTCCCCCCGGTGGTGGGCGGAGGTAGTGCGGGGTGTGGTCAGCCCTCTGGATTGTAGTGGAGTCTCCCCCGGTGGTGGGCAGAGGTAGTGCGGGGTGTGGTCAGCCCTCTGGATTGTAGTGGAGTCTCCCCCCCGTGGTGGGCAGAGGTAGTGCGGGGTGTGGTCAGCCCTCTGGATTGTAGTGGAGTCTCCCCCCCGGTGGTGGGCAGAGGTAGTGCGGGTGTGGTCAGCCCTCATGGATTGTAGTGGAGTCTCCCCCCCGGTGGTGGGCAGAGGTAGTGCGGGGTGTGGTCAGCCCTCTGGATTGTAGTGGAGTCTCCCCCCGGTGGTGGGCAGAGGTAGTGCGGGGTGTGGTCAGCCCTCTGGATTGTAGTGGAGTCTCCCCCGGTGGTGGGCGGAGGTAGTGCGGGGTGTGGTCAGCCCTCTGGATTGTAGTGGAGTCTCCCCCCCCGGTGGTGGGCAGAGGTAGTGCGGGGTGTGGTCAGCCCTCATGATTGTAGTGGAGTCTCCCCCCCCGGTGGTGGGCGGAGGTAGTGCGGGGTGTGGGAGGATATCACGGCTGATCTTATATACGGTGTGAGATATTTCAGTGTAAATCCCTTTATTCCCTCATCACCTGTCACAGCCACACGCGTGCGTCACGGTTAACTAGTCGCTGTGGGCGTGGCGTGTGGGGGACACGTGACAGGGTGATCATTTAACAGATCCTTGACACCCCCCTCGTATGGAGTATAGGATCCCCCCCCCCCTCAGTATACAGTATAGGATCCCCCCCCCCCTCAGTATACAGTATAGGAATCCCCCCCCCCTCAGTATACAGTATAGGATCCCCCCCCCCCCCTCAGTATACAGTATAGGATCCCCCCCCCCAGTATACAGTATAGGATCCCCCCCCCCTCAGTATACAGTATAGGATCCCCCCCCCCCTCAGTATACAGTATAGGATCCCCCCCCCCCTCAGTATACAGTATAGGATCCCCCCCCCCCTCAGTATACAGTATAGGATCCCCCCCCCCTCAGTATACAGTATAGGATCCCCCCCCCCTCAGTATACAGTATAGGATCCCCCCCCTCCTCAGTATACAGTATAGGATCCCCCCCCCCCTCCTCAGTATAGGATCCCCCCCCCCCCTCCTCAGTATAGGATCCCCCACCCTCAGTATACAGTATAGGATCCCCCCCCCCCCTCAGTATACAGTATAGGATCCCCCCCCCTCAGTATACAGTATAGGATCCCCCCCCCCTCCTCAGTATAGGACAGTATACAGTATAGGATCCCCCCCCCCCTCAGTATACAGTATAGGATCCCCCCCCCTCCTATACAGTATAGGATCCCCCCCCCCCTCAGTATACAGTATAGGATACCCCCCCTCCTCAGTATAGGATCCCCCCCCCCTCCTCAGTATAGGATCCCCCCCTCAGTATACAGTATAGGATCCCCCCCCCCCTCAGTATACAGTATAGGATCCCCCCCCTCCTCAGTATACAGTATAGGATCCCCCCCCCCTCCTCAGTATAGGATCCCCCACCCTCAGTATACAGTATAGGATCCCCCCCCTCCTCAGTATACAGTATAGGATCCCCCCCCTCAGTATACAGTATAGGATCCCCCCCCTCCTCAGTATACAGTATAGGATCCCCCCCCCCTCCTCAGTATACAGTATAGGATCCCCCCCCCCCTCCTCAGTATAGGATTCCCCCCCCCCTCCTCAGTATATACAGTATAGGATCCCCCCCCTCAGTATACAGTATAGGATCCCCCCCCTCAGTATACAGTATAGGATCCCCCCCTCAGTATACAGTATAGGATCCCCCCCCCTCAGTATACAGTATACCCCCCCCCTTCAGTATACAGTATAGGATCCCCCCCCCCTCGGTATACAGTATAGGATCCCCCCCCCCTCGTATACAGTATAGGATCCCCCCCCCCTCGGTATACAGTATAGGATCCCGCCCCCCCCCCTCAGTATACAGTATAGGATCCCCCCCCCCCCTCAGTAGTATATGGTATAGGATCCCCCCCATCAGTATACGTATAGGATCCCCCCCCCCCCCTCAGTATACAGTATAGGATCCCCCCCCCTCAGTATACAGTATAGGATCCCCCCCCCTCCCTCCTCATACAGTATAGGATTCCCCCCTCCCTCCTCATACAGTATAGGATCCCCCCCCTCAGTATACAGTATAGGATCCCCCCCCTCCCTCCTCATACAGTATAGGATCCCCCCCCTCCCTCCTCATACAGTATAGGATCCCCCCCCCCTCAGTATACAGTATAGGATCCCTATGAGGTGTCTGGTGTCCCATCTCTTCCTCTGTTTCCTCCCTCCAGTTTTTTCCTGGTAGTGATGTCATCGTCTCCTTTGCTCTGTGATGTCATCGTACTTCCTGCGCTGTGAGGAGGATCCTGCGTAGCGTTTATATGGACGCACACAAAGATGGCGGAGGGTGTCCTGCAGGGGAGGGATGATGGAGACTTCGATCTGGACCTCTTCTTCTTTGGTGAGTAATATTCGTCCGTTATGTATCTCTTGTGTATTATTGATCCTTCATGGATTGGTGGAGTATTGGTGCGCCATCGGTACATAGAGGATCAATAGCAATCATCTGTATTGATGGACTCAATTTCATCCTCCGTGTCTTGGAATATTATCAATAGCATAGATGGTGCTGCCCGCCCCGGCGCGGTGTGTCCCGCCCGCCCCGGCGCGGTGTGTCCCGCCCGCCCCGGCGCGGTGTGTCCCGGCCCGCCCCGGCGCGGTGTGTCCCGCCCGCCCCGGCGCGGTTGGCACCGTTATCCCCGCCCGCCCTGGCGCCGTGGGCCACTTCCAGGATCTTCTAATCTCCAGGATGGAATCAATTTCACTTTTTTCACATTCATATTTTTTTTTCTCCTTTCTTCTTCCAGGAGCCGAAGCTTCAGCAGTGCCATCTGAGATTGCGCCGGTCTTAGACCGGGGGGCGGAGCCTTGTGCCGGGAATGGTCAGACGACTATAGCGAATACAGTAAATGACACATCTGGTGAGTAGTAAAAATACACCAAACATCATGGGGACTGTCACCAGTAATGGAGAGATATTCTGCAGGGTCCCTGTAGGAGGAGATCCCGGGGGGGGGATATGCTGCAGGGTCCCTGTAGGAGGAGATCACGGGGGAGAGATGTACTGCAGGGTCCCTGTAGGAGGAGATCCCGGGGGGAGAGATATGCTGCAGGATCCCCGTAGGAGGAGATCCCGGGGGGGAGATATGCTGCAGGAACCCCGTAGGAGGAGATCCCCGGGGGGGAGATATGCTGCAGGATCCCCGTAGGAGGAGATCCCGGGGGGGGGAGATATGCTGCAGGATCCCCGTAGGAGGAGATCCCGGGGGGGAGATATGCTGCAGGATCCCCGTAGGAGGAGATCCCGGGGGAGAGATATGCTGCAGGATCCCCGTAGGAGGAGATCCCGGGGGGGAGATATGCTGCAGGAACCCCGTAGGAGGAGATGCCGGGGGGGGGGGGAAGATATACTGCAGGGTCCCTGTAGGAGGAGATGCCGGGGGGGATATACTGCAGGGTCCCTGTAGGAGGAGATTTTGGGGGGGGATATACTGCAGGGTCCCTGTAGGAGGAGGATATCCCGGGGGGGGGGGAAATATACTGCAGGGTCACTGTAGGAGGAGATCACACGGGGGAGAGATATGCTGCAGGTTCCCTGTAGGAGGAGATCACAGGGAGAGATATACTGCAGGGTCCCTGTAGGAGGAGATCCCGGGGGGGGGAGGGAGATATGCTGCAGGGTCCCTGTAGGAGGAGATCCCGGGGGGGGAGATATACTGCAGGGTCCCTGTAGGAGGAGATCCCGGGGGGGGGGGAGATATGCTGCAGGGTCCCTGTAGGAGGAGATCCCGGGGGGGGGGAGATATGCTGCAGGGTCCCCTGTAGGAGGAGATCCCGGGGGGGGGGGGAGATATGCAGCAGGGTCCCTGTATAGGAGGAGATCCCGGGGGGGAGATATGCTGCAGGGGGTAGGAGGAGATCCCGGGGGGGAAATATACTGCAGGGTCCCTGTAGGAGGAGATTCCGGGGGGGGGGGGGATATACTGCAGGGTCCCCGTAGGAGGAGATCCCGGGGGGGGGGGATAATATGCTGCAGGGTCCCCGTAGGAGGAGATCCTGGGGGGAGGGAGGGATGTGCTGCAGGGTCCCCGTAGGAGGAGATCCCCGGGGGGGGGGGGGGGGGGGGATAGGCTGCAGGGTCCCTGTAGGAGGAGATCCCGGGGGGGGGGAGATCCCGGGGGGGGGGGGATATGCTGTAGGGTCCCTGTAGGGGGAGATATATACTGCAGGGTCCCTGTAGGAGGAGATCACGGGGGGGGGATATACTGCAGGGTCCCTGTAGGAGGAGATCCCGGGGGGGGGGGGGATATACTGCAGGGTCCGTATAGGAGGAGATCCCGGGGGGGGAGATATACTGCAGGGTCCCTGTTGGAGGAGATTCCGGGGGGGGGGGGGGGGGGATATACTGCAGGGTCCGTATAGGAGGAGATCCCGGGGGGGGAGATATACTGCAGGGTCCCTGTTGGAGGAGATTCCGGGGGGGGGATATACTGCAGGGTCCCTGTAGGAGGAGATTCCGGGGGGGGGGGGGGGGGGGGGATATGCTGCAGGGTCCCTGTAGGAGGAGATCACGGGGGGGGGGGGGGGGGGATATGCTGCAGGGTCCCTGTAGGAGGAGATCACGGGGGGGGGATATGCTGCAGGGTCCCTGTAGGAGGAGATCACGGGGGGGGGGGGGGGATATATGCTGCAGGGTCCCTGTAGGAGGAGATCACGGGGGGGGGGGGATATTGCTGCAGGGTCCCTGTAGGAGGAGATCCCGGGGGGGAGATATACTTCAGGGTCCCCGTGGAGGAGATCCCGGGGGGGGGGGGGAATATGCTGCAGGGTCCCCGTAGGAGGAGATCCTGGGGGAGGGATGTGCTGCAGGGTCCCCCTCGTAGGAGGAGATCCCGGGGGGGAGGGATGTGCTGCAGGGTCCCCGTAGGAGGAGATCCCGGGGGGGGGGGGATATGCTGCAGGGTCCCTGTAGGAGGAGATCCCGGGGGGGGGGGGATATGCTGCAGGTCCCTGTAGAAGGAGATCCCGGGGGGGGGGAGATCCCGGGGGGGGGGGGATATGCTGCAGGGTCCCTGTAGGGGAGATATACTGCAGGGGTCCCTGTAGGAGGAGATTTCGTGGGGTGGGGGGAGATATGCTGCAGGGTCTCTGTAGGAGGAGATCCTGGGGGGGAGATATGCTGCAGGGTCCCTTTAGGAGGAGATTCCGGGGTGGGGGAGATATGCTGCTGGGTCCCTGTAGGAGGAGATCACGGGGGGGGGGGGGGGAATATGCTGCAGGGTCCCTGTAGAAGGAGATCCCGGGGGGGGGGGGGGGGATATGCTGCAGGGTCCCTGTAGGAGGAGATTCCGGGGGTGGGGGAGATATGCTGCAGGGTCCCTGTGGGAGGAGATCACGGGGGGGAGATATGCAGCAGGGTCCCTATAGGAGGAGATCCCGGGGGGGGGGGAGATATGCTGCAGGGTCCCTGTAGGAGGAGATCCCGGGGGGGGGAGATATGCTGCAGGGTCCCTGTAGGAGGAGATCCCGGGGGGGGGGGAGATATGCTGCAGGGTCCCTGTAGGAGGAGATCCCGGGGGGGGGGGATATGCTGCAGGGTCCCTGTAGGAGGAGATCCCGGGGGGGGGGAGATATGCTGCAGGGTCCCTGTAGGAGGAGATCCCGGGGGGGGGGGAGATATGCTGCAGGGTCCCTGTAGGAGGAGATCCCGGGGGGGGGGATATACTGCAGGGTCCCTGTAGGAGGAGATCCCGGGGGGGGATATACTGCAGGGTCCCTGTAGGAGGAGATTCCGGGGGGGGGGGGGGGGGAGATATGCTGCAGGGTCCCTGTAGGAGGAGATCACGGGGGGGGGGGGGGAGAATATGCTGCAGGGTCCCTGTAGGAGATCCCCGGGGGGGGGGGGATATGCTGCAGGGTCCCTGTAGGTGGAGATCCCGGGGGGGGGGACATGGGGGGGGGGGGGATATGCTGCAGGGTCCCTGTAGGAGGAGATCCCGGTCGATGGATCTCCTGCAGGTCAGTTCTCAGACACTTCCTCCTTGTAGATGTTTCAGGACTCCGCGTTCTTCCTCCTCTGTAAGCCGCCATGTCTGTGGTGGGCGGGGACTTGGCTCCGCCCTGTTCATGGTATTTCCCATGAATGGCCCATGGCTGGTGCTCTCCTGGCATGCAGGACGGCAGTGGTACAGACAGATCTCCGGCATTGTGGACATTTCTGGTCTTCTCAGTTGGGGCTCCTTCAGAGGTGGTCCTGGGGGGGGCTGCAGAGCCTAGTGATGTGGCTGCTGTTGGATTTGGGGGATCCTCAGAGAATGGGTCTGCAGCAGATGGAGGGCGGAGGGTTCCCCTTGGGTACTCCTCTCTACTCACATTCAGGGGTTTTCCGGGGTGACGGGCTCTGAATACACGTCGTAGTTAGATGATCAGATGAAGGGTGGGGAGATCCAGCTCTGAAGACTCCTCCTCCCAACCGGGCCTAAACGTAGATTCCACCTGGGAGTAACATCCAATCAGAGATGGGAGACGGCCTGGGAGACGTGGGATTCCTCTTCACAGATCGCTGGAATCTGGTGCAGATTTCGGATACGAGGCTTTGTGGGTATAAATGCCAACGAGAAGCCCTATTGAGGTCATTTCCTCCCCGGAATAATCGTTCTCGGCGGTATAAAGTGTCATCACCCAACAAGGGTCCATATGAGGACCTACAGTATGATCCATCACCCCGGGCCTGTGTCCTGGACTGTCCTCCAAGGTATGGAATTTCGAGAGAAGCCAGCCTGCCGTGACCGTTCTGGTGCAAGTTGTAGGACAGCAGTAGGAGAAGATTGCATTGTTCTGATGGGTGTCTTTTTTTTTTTTTTGTCTTCCAGGTGGCAGCACCATGCGATCTGGTCAGCAAGGCATGGCACCTTCTCAGTTGATACCGCCTGGGATCCCACTCATGAACTCTGACCTCTCCTCGTGCTATCCTCGAGACTCTTCTTGGGGCGTATGCACCTCCAATAGTCTCCAGGGAACCCCTTCCACCAGCTCTGTGGAGAAAGCCATTCCGGGGGAGCGGAGTCCCAGCGACATCACCAGTATCATTGCTCATCTCCGAAGCCTCGCCACCGAAACCTCCAATACCTGTGCCAGAGCGGATCTGGAGAAGACCGGGTCAAGTTCCAGCAAGGAGACTGAGACGGTAGGCAATGGGCCGGGCACTCCGGCCGCCACGGAGGTCAGCTTACAGGAGAGTGCGGGTCATCAGCTGGACCTTCAAGGTGGCTTTGCCGGCAGCCAATATCCCTTCGTCAATGTGGAAGCTAACTTCAAGAGGAAGTCCAACCCGAAGATCTACATCTGCTCCGAGTGCGGAAAGACGTGCCCCTGCCAGTCGGCCTACACCCGTCACCAGAGGATTCACACCGGGGACAAACCGTACGCCTGTACCGACTGCGGGAAAAGTTTTATTCAGATCTCGGACTACAACAACCACGTCAGGTCCCACACCGGTGAGAAGCCATATACCTGCGCAGAGTGCGGGAAAAGCTTCAGTCGCAGCACCTACCTGGTGACGCATTCCAGGACGCACACCAAAGAGAAGCCGTACACCTGCAACGTGTGCGGGAAAAGCTTCATCCAGCACTCGCACCTCTCATTACACCTGAGGATTCACAGCGGGGAGAAGCCGTACATCTGCATCGAGTGCGGGAACAGCTTCAGTCGAAGTTCCACCTTGGTGAAGCACAAGAAGTCCCATCGCAGGAAGACTCTGCACATATGTCAGAAGAAGAACGGGGAAGAGGTGGCCTGTAACTTCACTCAAAACACCCCGCCCACGTGGGGAACCAGCTCCGTGCCAGAGGAACCATCGGACGCTCCCCTGAGGTCCCCAGAAGTCACCCTCGTCAAATCCGAAGCCGATGAGGGCGAGGAGTGCTATCCACAGGAGGTGGACTGCCAGACTCCGTACCGGGAGGAGATGATAAAACCCATACGGATCACACTAGAGAAATATCTCTCTCAGGAGACAGACGACCCCTCTGGACCTCTTCAGAGGAAGGTTCTGTGGAAGAAGAAACCACAGTGTGTTGAGGAAGAAGGTGACAACGCCACGTGTAATGGTGACACGGAAACTTCTGTGACGGAGGTGAATGACCGTAAGACGGGGGGGAAAGTCTGTCACCTCAGTGGAACATCTCAGGACCACAGAAGCTGTATCCCCCAGCCCCCGAGCTTGGCGCCGGTCACCAGTAATGGTCCGGCAGAGGCTCCAGAGCCTGATGACTCCATGTCTTCAACCACAACGGTAACCAAATGTGAAGTGACCGATCCCCCAGACAGCTCGTACCTCAATACAGACTTTAGCACAGTGTTCAGCACTTCTGAGGAGACCTCCAGTGTTGGCGACCTCCAGAGGACACCTAGGCAGTCGCTCTTCATCTGCAGTTACTGCGGAAAGAGTTGTCCGTGTAAGTCCGCATTTCTCCGACACCAGAGGATTCACACTGGAGAAAAGCCCTTCTCCTGCTTCGAGAGTGCGGCAAAAGCTTCATCCAGGCCTCAGACTATAACAATCACATGCGGTCCCACACGGGGGAAAAGCCCTACACCTGCGCCCAGTGCGGCAAGAGCTTCAGCCGCAGCACCTACCTGGTGACGCACTCCAGAACGCACACCAAAGAGAAGCCCTACAACTGCAAAGAGTGCGGCAAAAGCTTCATCCAGCACTCGCACCTTTCCATACACCGCCGTATCCACAGCGGGGAGAGGCCCTACTCCTGTCCGGAGTGCGGCAAACAGTTCAACCGCAGCTCCACCCTTGTCAAGCACCAGAAATCGCACATCAAAAAAACCAACGCCATGGAGAAAGCTAAGATGGCTTCCATGTCTCCGCCATCCTCGCAGAACCGTTCACAGAAACTTGCCGAAGAAAGTCTGAAATAGGAGACAGTGGCTGTGCCAAGCACAAACATCAGGGCTGCTAGTCATGGAGGTGACGTTTGTCCTTCCAGAGACGCTCCTTGTGATGATTGAGGCCCCGATCTTGTGGGACCCGCCACACAGAGGTCCAAGCAGACGATTGTCTCTGAAGTGTCTCTGCACAGGACAGACAGCGGGGATCAGACTCCCTCATCCTTCCAGAGATGCTCCTTGTGATGATTGAGACCCGAGCTTGTGGGACCCGCCACACAGAGGTCCAAGCAGACGATTGTCTCTGAAGTGTCTCTGCACAGGACAGACAGCGGGGATCAGACTCCCTCATCCTTCCAGAGATGCTCCTTGTGATGACTGAGAACCCGAGCTTGTGGGACCCGCCACACAGAGGTCCAAGCAGACGATTGTCTCTGAAGTGTCTCTGCACAGGACAGACAGCGGGGATCAGACTCCCTACTCTGGATGTTGTCTTCCATTCCAGAATGACCTCCTTGTGTGCCGTTGATGTTGAGGCCCCGGCACATGATAGGTGGGTCGTGGTACCTGCACAGAGGTGCAGTCTGACGTTGGCTGTCCTCACCAATCAGGACTCCATGTTTGTGACGATGAGGAATTCTCTGAAGTGTCTCTGGAAGGATATATTGAGGAGTAAAGGCAGCCTGGGGATGAACAAGCAGACTCCTTCATCCTTCCAGAGACGCTCCTTGTGATTGACGTGAGGACCCGATCTTGTGGGACCCGCCACACAGAGGTCCAAGAGCAGACGATTGTCTCTGCACAGGACAGACAGCGGGGATGTTGTCTTCATTCATGACTCCCTCATCCTTCCAGTAGATGTCTCCATTCATGGGACTGACGTGACCTGAGGGAACCCGAGCTTGTGGGACCCGCCACATCAGTAGATGTCCAACGTGTACAGACGTGGCGGGATCAGTAGATGTCTTCATTCATGGGACGTGTCTGTAGACCTGAGGGGATCAGCAGATGTTTTCATTCGTGGGACGTGTACGTAGACCTGAGGGGATCGAACTCAGTAGATGTCTCATGGACATGTATGTGTCTTGGCCATTGTCTTCATTTATGGGAATGTGACCTGAGGGATGGCGGGATCAGTAGATGTCTTCATTCATGGGATGGCGTGTCACTAGACCTGAGGATGGGGGATCAGTAGATGTATTAGTCGGTACGTGTACGTAGACCTGAGGGGTGACGGGATCAGTAGATGTCTTCATTCATGGGACGTGTCCTAGACCTGAGGGATCGGGATCAGTAGATGTCCATTCATGGGACGTGTACGATGAGGAATGGTGGGATCACTGATGTCTTCATTCATGGGACGTGTACGTAGACCTGATGACGGGATCAGTAGATGTCTTCATTCATGGGACGTGTACGTAGACCTGAGGGGTGACGGGATCAGTAGATGTCTTCATTCATGGGACGTGTACGTAGACCTGAGGGGTGACGGGATCAGTAGATGTCTTCATTCATGGGACGTGTACGTAGACCTGAGGGGTGTGCGGGATCATAGATGTCTTCATTCATGGGACGTGTACGTAGACCTGAGGAATGGCGGGATCAGTAGATGTCTTCATTCATGGGACGTGGACGTGTGAGGGGTGAAGGGATCAGTAGACCTGAGGGATGGCGGGATCAGTAGATGTCTTCATTCATGGGACGTGTCGTAGACCTGAGGGATGGCGGGGATCAGTAGATGTCTTCATTCATGGGACGTGTACGTAGACCTGAGGGATGGCGGGATCAGTAGATGTCTTCATTCATGGGACGTGTACGTAGACCTGAGGGATGGCGGGATCAGTAGATGTCTTCATTCATGGGACGTGTACGTAGACCTGAGGGATGACGGGATCAGTAGATGTCTTCATTCATGGGACGTGTCGTAGACCTGAGGGGTGACGGGATCAGTAGATGTCTTCATTCGTGGGACGTGTACGTAGACCTGAGGGGTGACGGGATCAGTAGATGTCTTCATTCGTGGGACGTGTACGTAGACCTGAGGGATGACGGGATCAGTAGATGTCTTCATTCGTGGGACGTGTACGTAGACCTGAGGGGTGACGGGATCAGTAGATGTTTTCATTCGTGGGACGTGTACGTAGACCTGAGGGGTGACGGGATCAGTAGATATCTTCATTCGTGGGACGTGTACGTAGACCTGAGGGGTGACGGGATCAGTAGATATCTTCATTCGTGGGACGTGTACGTAGACCTGAGGGGTGACGGGATCAGTAGATATCTTCATTCGTGGGACGTGTACGTAGACCTGAGGGGTGACAGGATCGGTAGATGTAACGGAACTGGACCCAGACTGCACTGGGGTATTTTCGTTAGACTCCCGCTTCCCTGTCCGAACACAGATCCACGGACACCACCGCTGACCATACAGGACGAGACACACCAGACTTGTATCAATACAGGAAGTGAACTGCTTTATTTTAACACAGACACAAGATATATACACAGGGCAGGGCAATACATTTAGTAACAAGACCCACAGCAGACACCCCCCACCAAGCCAATACACAAACACATACATCCCATAATAGTTTGCTCCCAAGCAAGACACAATAGAACAATGGGACCACGTGGCAGTAAAACAATGAACAACCCCCCACCCCACCTATACATGTCTACTCAATATCAGGACAGATCACCCTGTACCCCTAACAGGCACAGGGGGACTTACACATAAGAGGGATGTGGGGAGCAGAGATGGGTCTCCCCACCTCTCCCCCCAAAAGTGAGCTGTGTTCCATGGGCCCCCCACCCAAAGTGAGCTGTGTTCCATGGGCCCCCCACCCAAAGTCACTCCCATCACATATCTCCCCTTTCAGCAGGAGACTAACACAGGAGGAAACCCCAGATGGATGGACTCTGAAGTTAGTCTGCACTTCCAGTCCCCCAATGCCGGTACCCACACAGGACCCCAAACAAATGGTCCCACACAAAGCATTACTCACCCAGCCAACCTCTGCCTCTCTTGTAGAACATACCCGCTGCTGGGGAGAAGTACGGACTGGTCCTTCTCCCTGAAGTCCTCTCAGCTGCTGGAGAGAAGACGGTGGCTGGGCCGACTCCATCATGCGGTGGGGGATCTGGGCCGACTCCATCATGCGGTGGGGGATCTGGGCCGACTCCATAATGCGGTGGGGGATCTGGGCCGACTCCATAATGCGGTGGGGGATCTGGGCCGACTCCATCATGCGGTGGGGGATCTGGGCCGACTGCCAAGCATCCCTGGGGTATCCAGGTGGGGACTGTAGTTGCTAGGCAGAGGCCAGTGGCGCTCTGTCCTGTTGCCAGCACTTCTTCTGGGTACCCCACATCTGCTCCGGCTAACCGCAGGGGAGGGAGGCCGGCTTCCTCCCCTCCCAGACTCTGGATCTGCTGCTGGGATGGCATTCCTCTGTCACTGTCCCCCTGGTGCACAGATCCTGGCTTGGGAAGGAAGACCGTTTCCTCCACTCTGGCTGACTGTGGGGGAGGGAGGACAACAACCTTCTCTCCCTTCTCCCCCTGGGCCTCTGAAACTACCACAGGTGTGGGGCAGAGGTCCTGGACCCTCTGTCCGGTTGTCAGCGCTTAAGCTGGAGGCTCGCCGACTGGTTCCTCCTCAGCAGAAAAGTCAGTAAAATCCCCAGTCTCTGGAATGGCTAAATGTCCAGGGCACGGGATGGTGGCCCTTGGGTCCAGTACCAGCACTTTGGCAGGTGACTCATCACCCACAACATCCTCCACTGAAAAATCCATTAGATCCATACATTCTGGGATCTGTAATTGGAGGGATGAGCCAACTGCTCCATCTTCCACACCCTCGTCCAGTTGTTGGACAGATGCGTCCCTCCATCCACGCTCATCCCGTGTAGAAACAGGATTGTCTAGGTAAGCCAGCACTTGCTGCATCCGCCATAAGACCTCCGTTTCCATAGCTGCGGGTGGTATCTGTATCTCCTCTCCTGCTCTTGGATCCCGGTGGTGGTTTGGATGTGTTTACAGCTTGGAAGCACAATCCCACCGCTTGCCACCAATGTAACGGAACCGGAACCCCGACTGCACTAGGGTATTTCTGTTAGACTCCCTCTTCCCTGTCCAAACACAGATCCACGGACACCACCGCTGACCATACAGGACGATACAGCACCAGACTTGTATTGAAACAGGAAATGGACTGCATTATTTTAACACAGACACAAGATATATACACAGGGCGGGGCAATACATTTAGTAACGAGCCACACCAACAGACAGTCCCATCAGGGGGGAGGGCTGCTGCAGACAGGGGTCCCCCCACCTCTCCAAAGTGAGCTGTGTTCCATGGGCCCCCCACTAAAGTCACTACTGTCACAGTAGATATCTTCATTCACCGGACGTGTATGCAGACCTGAGGGATGACGGGATCAGTAGATATCTTCATTCAGTCTGGTCTGGGCTCTTCTTCTCTGATTCTGGACAGAATTCTGAGGTGCAATACGGCCCGATCCAGAGAGATCCACATTATTAATCATTATTTAGGATTTATAAAGTGATGGACAATCCAAGAGGAGGGGAGGGAGGACCTTGCTGGTGATGAGGAGGGTCAGGTGAGAACTACGGGGGGGGGGAGGGTCAGATGAGAACTACGGGGGGGGGGGGGGTCAGGTGAGAACTACGGGGGGGGTGAGCTGATGGAGAAGGTAGAAGTTCAGTTGTTAGGTGGAGGTGGATCACCTAAAGGTGGACCGAGCAGGAGATAACCGGACAGATTGGGGTAGAGCGTTCCAGAGGATGGGAGAGGCTCTGGAGGGAGCTGGAAAGATGGAGGTCTTGGGAGGAGAGGACGGTTTGGCTGATAGGAGATTGGTGGTGTAGCTCGGGGCAGAGTTGTGGAGGACTTTGAATGTTAACATTTTTCCTTTTTCATAGTTGGGCATGTGGAAGTCAGTGGAGGGATTGGCAGAGAGGGGTGGAGGACACAGAATGGAGGCCAGTGGAGGGATTGGCAGA